CCCCAAAACCCCAAAACCCCATATTGCCTAACATCATTAAGATTATAAGATTTAAAATTATTATTATAATGATTGATAACAATGTGGAGATCTAAAGTGATCTCAATGAATCTCTTACTTTCTCAACCAACCAATTAGAACTAAGAAGAGCATAGTCAACAGGAACTACAAGCGAAATAGAAGGCTACATATATCTATACCGTGATTAGGACTATATGACAAGTAACAATACAAACTTTAAGACTTACTACTTTGATCTGATGGCTACTTTGCAATTCACTTACGTATTCCCTTACTTTTTACTTACATTTCTGAGTTTCGCATTTCTTTATTGCTTCTCCAACGAGTTAGCCAGACTTTGGAACTCAGGACTGCCTTGTGATCTGAACTTTGTGAGGTGGTTTGTATCTTTTGTGATATGCTGTCCAATGGTGGCTTTGATCAGTACCTCTATGGTGAGGAGGATATATGAGACAATCCGAGTGAAGAACTATATATTCTACAGTAGACGCTACTAGATCAAACACATCACAACAAGCAAATATAGATTCTTCATCCCTTATTTGATAATTGATCTATTCCACATTGCATGGTCTATTGCAGGCATAGTTATTGACAAAATTTACTTATAAGAGACTTGCAGTTCTGATCTAAGTTACGTGACCTATACAGGTAACTTCTTAGTTGGGATGGGCTTCGCTTTCATCCTTAGGCTCATCTACTTGCTGATATTCTTTATATTTGGCAAATAGCTCTTTCAGAAATGGTCCTAGAGAGAATACAGAAATAACAAATTCGTCGTCAAACTAAAGTCTGAATTGTACATCCCTGATATTTAAACACCGATGGGTGGCTTATTAAGCAATGATTCAATTTAAGATGATAATTATGACTAAAAAGACAAAAATGAGGAAGTGTGCTGCTCAATATGCTTTTGTGAATATGAAAGTGGCGAGAGGATAGTAAGACTCCCTTGTGATAGCTAAAGGCACGTATTCCATGATAGCTGTATTAAATAGTGGCTTGACAGGAATGATCTGTGTCCACTGTGCAAATAAAACATAATCTTAATGTGATGCATTTTTTATATCGAATATGATTAATAAAAATGCTTAATGGGGTTTTGGGGTTTTGGGGTTTTGGGG